TAGAGACGCTGCCTCTAGTCCACGGGTCCCCTGCTTTGTCAGTTGTGATCGGTTTGTGTTTGATAAGGGATATGGTATGAACATACAAATAACTATGTAAAATATTGTCTTTCACACACGAAGAAAGTGATAGTTAAAACAAAACTGTATTCAAACGCCGAGCGGAAATAAAAAAATAAATTGCAAAAACAACGTCAAATAAAGCAAATTCAATATTCAATTGCCTGATAGTGTCAACATTGCATCCAACCTCAGGAGGATGCCGACAACCATACTACTGCCAATTGCAGCACACAAGTTGAACACTCCCAGTAATATTCCAAAATATGCTTTAGCAGTTGGTCTGTTTAGCTCAAATGTTTTCCGGTATGGATGCACAAAGCAAGGTTAGAGCGTGTTACCACTTTTTAAAAAGGATTGCGTAAATTCCGAAATGTTTTTTTGTGACGTTCATCCGAAAAGAGTAGTGCTCAATAAGACGGGGAGAAACGTCATCTTGATAAAATTAAGACAAACAAGTGAAGAAATAAAGTGGAATATACATATAATGACAAGGTCATAGCCTGGTCAATCATAGATGCCCAATGAATTCTAAGCACTGATTCGCATATGGTATTCCGATACTTGTGAGCACTAATTTTTGGGGAACAGAAGTTTAAACACGTCCTTTCTAAATTTAAAAAGACACTATTTAAATTTGACTATTATTTCCGGTGACCTGGTGTACACCATTTGGTCTTAATCATTGAAGTGGAAAGCTTACGATGCATAATTGACTGAACCACATTATGGTCGAGCAGTTTAGGTTCAAAGTCGAAAGAAGATGAAGACGCGATCACAATAACAGTTCTTTCATTGGTAGAGGCCTTCATGCTCGTACGTAAGTCTAGCATCAACGATAGGAGCAAAGTCCTTTATCTTAATAATGGCTGTCGAGTAGCGCCTAATGAATTGTAAGGTAAATACATTTTTTTGGCTAGTAAATAAATATTTTCTGGTTTAAAATTCAGCTAAGCCATAAATTACTGTAAAAGCAGGTCTTGTCAGAAAAAGTCATGCAAAAGTTAGTGATTCCGACCAAAGCGGCTGTTTCTTACTTCCTATTATTGCGTTTATCAAATAACAATGTTTCTAGATCCTGGGATGTCAGTGCTGTGGGTTTTGACGATGAATGCCTAAAATACTAACAGTAGCTTTTGTCCTAAAGTGAAATCCGAGCTGTCCCTTTCTGTATCCAGTGGAGTACGGGCACTTGTCTCGGGAACCAGAAGTTTAGTGCACGTCTAAATGGGCTGTGTCGACTTGTAAGACACTCTACATTAGACTTTTGGCCTTTCTGACGCTTGCCAATATAAGTGAACATACTAGCGATCGTATTTTGGGGAGTAAAAAATAGTGAGGTAGATGCTTTAAGTGGATGTCATCACTTTGCACTAATGCCCATTGCACTACGTGTCCATTGGCACATGAGCCGGGAGGCAGCTCGCTTGTGTAAAAAATGGCTTACGGTAGATAAAAACATTTTATTTACTTCGCAGATCATAAAAATTGTGATTAAAAGTGCAAAAAAATGTTCAATTATAAGATTTAAATTGAAAAAGACCCGCCGCGCATTCCCGCTAGAACATGTTACGCCAATGCGTTCATCGCAAGGGCTCAGAATAGGGCAAACATGGAATCTTTAATGAATTCATTTTTACGCCCTTAATCATACAAATATAATTGATGCAATGAAGGGAGAAACAAGCAGTGCATCGCTTTTGATCCAGAATGCTGCAAACGATCACACAAC